CAATTGGCTGTCCCCCACAAAGAGATTAGGCTCAAGCCTAATTTGGCTGCCACCTTGCAGTCATTTCTGGTGAGTAAGAAACTATATCCAAGTCAGGATTTCTAAAATCACAGAGAAAAGCATAAATAAAACCATTTTGGACACAAGGGGGAAAAAACTTAAGTCCATATGAGATGATTTCAGTATAACAGTCCAAAATAAATCATCTTTCTCTCATCAGTGCTTGGGATGCAAATAGCTACTCCATGGAAATTTTTGGAAGCAACATAAAAAAGTTTTCTTGGTTTCCTTAGTCTAAGCTGCAGTAGACCCAGACCTCCACTCGCTCTTTGCTAGAAACAATGCCTGACCACTGATGGTAAATCTGCCACATCATCACTTTCAAAGGGCTTTGGAGAAAGCAAAGCTCATTGTAAATTACAGAAGATTTCTTTTACTTTGTTTTCTAGCCTACTAATTGGCATTAAAATGGGATATTTTGTAACACTATGTATATAAGGGTCATAGACTTCATTTATGTTATCCTGCTGTGAGGGACTAGTAAATAATGTTAGGTCAACACTGGTATCTCTACATGCCTATGAAGCACCATAGGGAAAGAAACAGCCTTCCCCTAGGCCACAACAGATGGACGCCTAACCTTGTGGGGAATGAATAATGGACATGGCCCTTTTATAACAGTTTTTTTCAATCCCAAGTTTACCTCCTCATGCCATATTCAAGATACAGCCTTGTGCTTTTGGCACTCACTCACTGTGTTAGAGGATTGTTTGCACACTCCCAGGTTACATAACACAGGCTTGAGTCCTCCAGTCTATCTCATGTCACATTGTGTTTAAGCTTTATCTGTACTGTGCTTATTCCCAGTTATTTCACTTGACAAAGTTTTCAGTAAGAAGGAAATTAATGATGTAGATTTAGGTGTGGATCTGAAACTTTGTGACATTCAGGTATTTTGTGGATGATGTGCTTTGTACATCGTTGCTGAATAAATGATTGCATGAATGAATTCTAAAGCAATACTATAATGGGTTTAGTCCATTTACTGCAGAACTCAGTTAGGAAGGTTTTGAGATGAATGCCAAATCAATTTATGCTTAGAAAAGGCATAAAGCTTCTTATATGACAGCAGGGAAAGCCTTGACATCTGTTTGAGCTGGTTAACCTGATATTCAGAAGCTGCAGAACCATGTTTAAGCTGGGCCATGGTTTTATAGTTTTTTTTGGTGAAAGATTTGAATATTACTTTTGTTTTGGCCATGCTTTCTCCATAAGATGCACATTTTCTTTCTTTCTCTCTCTCTCTCTCTCTCTCTCTTTCTTTCTTTCTTTCCCCCTGTTTCTTTTTTCTTTTTTAAGATGGAGTTTCGCTCTTGTTGCCCAGACTGGCAATAGCGCGATCTCTGCTCACCACAACCTCTGCTTCCCAGTTCAAGCAATTCTCCTGCCTCAGCCTCCCGAGTAGCTGGGATTATAGGCATGCGCCACCATGCCCGGCTAATTTTGTATTTTTAGTAGAGACCGGGTTTCTCCATGTTGGTCAGGCTGGTCTCAAACTCTCAACCTCAGGTGATCCGCCCACCTCAGCCACCCAAAGTGCTGGGATTACAGGCAGGAGCCACCGTGCCGGGCCCAGGATGCACATTTTTGTATAACTATGTTCCTGTCTTCAACCTTATGCTTTATTCAGGTCACTCTTCATAGTCAGAATCCATTCACCTTCACGTGGGGCACATTTCAAAGCCTTTGATGAACAAAAAGAATCTGTTAGCGTATGCATAGCCGACTCTGGTGGATTTGGAAGGTCCATTTTGGGATTGATTTCTCAGGCTTATTGCTGCATTAATCCTCATGTTTACAAACATTAGAATCCCTTAATGAATTCTTAGACCATAATGTGTTAGTCTATGAAGTAAGAAAAATGACTCAGATGAAGAATATGACAACTCATGTTACCCCATCCTCCAATCAAGTGTGTTTTTCTGTATTTCATTGCACAATGTCCCCAAGAAGTATACATACATAGACAGACCCTCCTCTTCCATTTTTCTCTCTTTGGTTTCCAAAAAGATAACAGGCAGATTGGAAGGGATGCCACTACTTGTTAACAAAGCCCTCCATATAATCTCAGGTAAATACATGTGTTGTCAACGATTGACTTTTTGAAGGAGAAGCCTGTATTTTTTTCGCCTAAACTATACTAGTATTAGGAGAATGAGACTAGTTAGAAAAGTGAATTGGATTCAGGCTGGGTCTCATGGAGCTCTCAGATCATATCACATGAGCACCCAGTTTCTCCACCTGTTTCCAAAGAGGACATACAACCATGTCCACTATCACCCAAATTAATGTATCACTTCTGGCAGCAATCATATCTAACGTTTGCCCTTTTCTCATAAATGTGATGCCAGCTATGAGTCCTGACCTTATGAGGGCCAGGCCATGGCTTTTTCCCCATTAGTTTTTAATACTATAAATATAAAAGTTGTATTTCAAACAATTGAGTGATATTCAATCTCTACTTAAAAGAAGACATGACTCCAAACATGGAAGTCATCATTAGATTGCTAGCCATTAGAATGTGAAGATAAGTGAAACCAAATTTACACACACAAAAACACGCAGAGTATAAGAGTGTGTGTGTACATATATACACACACACACACACACATATATTTATAATTATATATATGTGTGTGTATATGTTTGTTGGTTTTTTTAACTAAATTAGTTTTAACATACATACAGAGAGTTGGAAATTAAAGGTCCAGATCAGCCATTGCTGCTATTGTTTCTAATGATATTTTTTTCATAAAGGTTGTAGGTTGACATTATGAAAATGTAAGTGGCAACTTTTACAGAATTGCTTCTTATAATTATCTCATTAATATTGGGACACATTAGACATCCAGAGAGGTGTGGGAGGTAGAGGCAAAGAAGAAAAGGAGAAAGGAAAAAAGGGAGGGAGAAAATCTAGAATAATTATGTTTTGTGCATGTCAAAAGCTGCATTTAGGCCCTGACCTCAATGTTTATCCTGCCTTGCAAAAGCTTCCATGTCTTTTCGTCAGTTTGTTTTGACCTGAAACTTTGTTTTCTCATACCAGATGACACCAGTAAGTTGCACATTGATGTGAAGCCTTACATCCCATCATTTGTTGCTGCAAAGCTGGGTTTTTGGATGTGGTACTTGTCTTGGACCTAGTGGGTAGTGAGTGATGGTGTGGGGTGCCAGTAGCATTACTGAAGTGAAGTGTGGATGCCTGTTGACCTTAGTGTGTAGGACCACCAAGGCACAAGTCTTTTTTCAAGTCAGCATGATCCTCTGGGAATGCTACCATCATTCTCATGTCTGGTAGCTTTAACACCAAACACTTTCATACTAGCAATGCAATGGGAACCATTATATTGTAATCTCATTTTTAAATGTTTTCTAAGAAGTAGAAAACCAATCTGTATGCAAACCAGTGACATCTAAGTAATAAGTCCTTTATTCAGGAATGTTATCTTCACATTTTTAGCTGAATTGTGATCTATATCTCAAACTAAATAATGGATTTTTTAATGGTATCTTCAAAAGGATACCCAAATAATCCATCACTCAGATATATCTCTGAGTAGAGAAAATGCCTTTCTTTCTTTCTCACCTCTCAGTGATATTATTGCATTATGAAGCACTCAGTAGGCTTTAAGTTTATGGCTGGTTGGCTCAGGACACTCATACCGTGGTGTTAATGAGGCTGGGGTCATGGAGGCCCGTTAGCTTTCCTCTGCCTGCTGACCACAGACTACTGGGAAATCAGTCAAGAGATGGTAGCACAGACAAGAAAGGCACCATGGCAAAACCTCAGCAGTTCTGAGTTTTTCCTAGCCATATAACAGGAAGGATGTGTTAGTTGGGTGTCATCATCTCAAGGAGGAAATGAGTAGCAGCTTGGGAGGCCCCAACCTTCACCTCCGAACAAAGCAGGTCTGACATTTAGGCATTAACTTTGCATTATAATCCCCCATCATACCATTGATTTGCTGTGTAACCTTCATCACTGAAGCACAGATAATAGGATAGAATGAAATGGGCTTACCTCCCGGGGATGTTGTGTGAATTAGCAAATTAACGAGTGTAAAGTGTTAGCATTTATGTAAGTGCTGGTGGTTGTCATTATTTCTAGGGACCTAGTCTCATTCTAAATAGAGAATCTAAGTATATTATGCTTTTGTCAGAAAGGGATTTTCACCCACATCAATTACATTTAAACGGAGCATAAAACAGAGGTGATAATAACATAGTAGTGATCATTGCAATGCAGAGCTGTAAACCTTTTCCCTATTAAAGCTAGAACTATTTTCAGCAACTTTCAGTGCTTTTAAACTTTGTTTTCCAAGTTTTGTTATCTCTATAATAATTATTCTTCCTGTGACGGGAGGTGGGAATGGGACCTAGAATAGGTCCTATTCATTATTCATTCCCATAATGACTATATATTGAATTTTTTTACATCATACAATCAAGCACATTTGGTAGCTAGTGTGATTGACACATACTGCAATCATTGTAAAAAATAAAAACTCTTTTCTACTCTGCCCATGCTGGTGTCCTCTAGAGGTAGCCAACATACAGATTGAAAACTCATGGGGAATTGAAGTGCTTTCCAACAAAAGGTGCTGTATATAGATCTTTTCAATTTAACATCTTTACCAAAGAATTTTGTTGTTGCCTGCTATTTCCAAGGGGACTGTGCTTGAGAGAATGCTTCCATTTCTTTTATCACTCTGACTTCGCTTACCAAGAAAAAGTCATTTATTGCTGATTGCAGAACTCTTGAACTCAGCCGGGCAGCTGCCGCATGAACTCCTCAGATCTGAGTTCCTTGTTACTTATTTACATATTCATTTGAAGTGATTTTTCAGGACTATTTGAAAACCTTTCTCAACCTAACATCATGTAATAGCAAAGATCTAAAGCTTACCATGCTTTTGGTTCTTTTTCACTTTGTCTTACAGATAACAGACGAGTACCTTTGGAAAGGTCACGCTCTCGCCACAATGGAGCTATCTCATCTAAGTGATTCCTGATGCCAAAGAATATGAAAATATTTAAGTAAACAAAATGATGCATTTTGAGAAGAACAAAGTGTGCACTCAGCGGCTGGAAAGGGAATAAGTGCATTTCTGCAAAGATCAAGATAAGCTGGATGAAGTAGTGTGCATTTGTAATACTATTGCAAGACTCCTCCCACAATTATTCTAATCTGAATACAGTTATCAGGATTGCAAAATGTGTTCCATTTTAGTGTAAAGATGTGTATCATTTGTAATTGTGTGTGACCTGACTGTGATGATGAAAGTGTAAGAAATTGAAGAGTTCTAAGGCTTTCAAAAACATTCAGTCTGTCAAAAATTTAAAATCTTAAATGTGTAAGTCACCCCCACCAAAAACAAAAGAGAAGAAAAAGAATAGAAAGTATTATCCAGTGTCAGCTTCCAATTCCTGTTACATATATAATAGAAAAAGGGCCAAGAAAAATATACATCTTGATTTGGAGAGGGGCTAATATTATGCACACTGTAAGAGAAGCCATTTTGGAAATTCATGAAAGTACTGCTCCACCCCAGTTGAGTTATTTAGAATCTTATCTCAAGTGAAAGCTGATGGATTCATCTGCTTTGGCTGAAATTAAACTTATCATTAGTCTAGCTAGCATTTCAGCTTGATATTGCAAGCACTTCTCATTGCTAAAAATAAACCAAAGTTTAACCGAATCAGTTAGGGAAAGTGCTTTAAACTTTATTTAAAGAGGTATTTTCTAATTATGCACAGATATCTACTTTATACAAATACTTTATATGGCTATTTTTGAGAAAACCCTCACATTTTAATGTTTATGCTAGGGATGAACCTGAAAATTCTATTACCTTTATTTAGATTTCAAAGACAAATATTGATTCCTATGCTCTGTGGTTTATTTCTTTTTTCTATTGCTTCTTTCTCCCTTGAGTCCCTTGAAGGCAAGGAATAGAATTCTAGAAAACCTGAGAGGAAAAAGAATTCTTTTTGCAGGAGGCAGCAGAAAACTGTCTAAAAGGTCAATTGTTTTATCTCCCTTTCTACTCTCTTTCCAATTTCACTTTGGTGGTCTGAAGAAGAAAAAGAAATTTTATGTATGTATGTGTAAATATGTGTATATATTTATATCTCTTGCTACAATAATTCCAACTAAGTGAACTTCTCAATTATCATCATACTTACTTACCTTATATTAACAAATTAAAATGATGCTGCCAAAACAAGTCTAGCAGGGAAAACAGGTTCTACATTTTTCTTAAATAGATTAGGGAGTAAAAGTTATACTTAACTTGTCTATTATTTTAAAATATACATTGAAATAATGTGGTATAACTTCTCTGGAGTGCAATTTTAAGTCTAATTCACGCAGATGATTGTGATTATTGTAAGAAATTTCTTACATGTATATTTCTTATAGAAAATACTGTTTCTACTCATTCAAAGCACATTGTAGATATTCAGAGAGAAGAACAAATGGCTGGCTTGGCAAATCCCCATCTGAGATAAAGTAAACAAGTGACCAGCAGCTTACAGATTCCTTTATGTAGATGTATAATGATTCAAACTGCTGCCTTTGCCTCCAGTGCATCCTTACTTAGGTATTATACTTTAAAAAGCTCTGAAGCTGCTACAATAGAGAAAGCAAAAAGGGTGACAGAATCTGAGATTTTATAGTTCTATCCCATCTGAAAACACACATACACAAACGCACACATGTGCACACACACATTTAAGGGACATATCAGTTACACTGTTTTTTAACAACAACAAAAGTTTAGGTTCTAATTTATGTAAATACGTAATATGTGTATTTTTGACTTTACAATGTCTTTTCTGAAATCTTCGTGGTATGGCTTTTTTAATTCTTTTGACAGCTTATCAGTCTGTAGGAGAGTGATTTTGAAAATGTTAACCCTGACTAAAATTTGGGAGCATATGCCTAGCTATATTATCAAGCTGGTCAAGGTAGAAATACTGATATGTATCACCTTTTCCAGACGCAAACTTGCCTTATTTTCTAGTTTGTGAACAAGAACGAATGAAGTACTATTATTGATAACTTATATATTTTTATTTAGAGCAAATCCCACTTGCTTTTCACAAACATTAAAAAACTTTTCAGGGTCTTTCATGAAGTTCCAATAATTGAGTTAAAAGGTTTGTTTCCCAGATTTATAATGGTCCTGCTCTAGCCATTTGCAGTTTTGTTTTAGATTGAAAAGTATCACTAAAATAACTATATAGTGACATTTTTAGTATGAAACCAAATTACACTAAGGTCTTTTGTTGGCCATATTACTGCCACATGTGAGAAGCACCATTTATGCAGATTTTCTTCAGAATATTTTTTTAAAGGTACAGAATTCTTAAAATATATACTAATTGCATCCATCTCCTTTGGCTGCTGTAACCAATTACCAATATGATGGCTTAACACAACAGAAACTTATTTGCTTACATTTCTTGAGGGCAGCAAAGCCATGCTCCCTCCAGAGACCCTAGAGGAGAATCTTTCCTTGCCACATCCACCTTCTGGTGGCTCTTGGCATTTTTTGGCTTATGGCCACATTTCTCTTTCTGCTGTGTCTTCACATCACCTTCCTCTGTGTACCCAATCTCCCTCTGCCTCTGTTTTATAAGGATCCTTATTATGACTTATAGAGACTACCCAGATGACTCCAGGATAATCTCCTCACCTCATGATTCTTAACTTAATTACATCTGCAAGGCCCCCTTTTCCAAATAAGATAACATTCACGGGTTTTGGGGATTAGGATGTGGCTATATCTTTTAGGAAGCCACTCTTAGCCAACCCAACTCTGCCCTCTGGCCCAAAATTTATGTCTGTCTCATGTGTAAAGGACATTCATCCCATCCTAACATTCCCAAAAGTCTCAACCCATTTTGGACTCAATCCTAAGTCCAAAATCTCATTCAAATATCATCGGTTCAAAGGTTCCAAAGCTTATTATTTAGATAATCTAAATCAGGTATGAGTGAAACTCTGGTATGGTCTTTCCTGAGGCAAAATTCCTCTTCCTCTGAGAACCAGTGAAACAGAAAAGTTATCTGCTTTCAAATTACAATGGTGGGAACAGGCATAGGATAACGGTTACAGACATTTCTGTTTCAAAAAGGAGAGAATGGAAAGTAGAATGGAGTCTCCTGTCCCAATCATTTTCAAAATCTAGCCAGACAAATTTCTCTTCTTATATTTCAAGACCTGGCAGTAATCCTCTTTCTCAGGGCTCCACCCTTTGGGCCTGTAGCTCTTCTTTCTTGGACTATGGATTGGGCCTCTGCCTCTGTTCCTGTGGCTTGCATTTCTTCCTCTGTTCCCACACTTGGGCCTCTGCCTCTGTACCTGCAGTTCTGCTCTCAGGATGGTGCTTCCTTTATCTTGAAGGGTAGCACGTGTTTGCAGCTGAGTAGTTTTATCAATGGGTTTCCTACCTGTAGACTTTTGGCAGTCTCACAATCTTCTTTCATTTTATTCTGTCCCTGTCCCTTTTAGGCCCAGTTGGAAGTGTTTCTGCTGGTATAGCATTCTCAAAAACCTTGTGGGTCTTCCATGTATGTCACATTGATTCACACATTCAGAAAAGAGGGTCCTCACAGATTTTTCCTGAATAACCCCGTCTCTATTCTTGGCTTCTGTTGAAACAGTCAAATAAATCCACAAGTTAATGCCTAACCTCTTCAGCACTAGCCAAAGGTTGTCAAGACACACCCTTGGGCTTATCTCCAGAGCACACTTTTCTAACAGTGAATCTCCTAATTTTAGCATCCTTTTTTTAACAATCTGAATAGGCTCCGAATTTACCCAGTTATCAGGTACTGATTCCTTGTCCACTTATATGGTTCTTTTCTCTTAAAAAAATGTTTTTTAAATTTATTAGAGATGACGTCTCACTCTGTCACCCAGGCTGCAGTGTAGTGGTGCAAACATAGCTCACTGTAACCTCAAACTCCCAGGCTCAAGCGATCCTCCTGCATCAGCCTTCCAAGTAGCTGGGTCTACAGGTGCATGCCACCATGCCTGGCTAATTTTTTGCATTTTTTGTAGAGGCTTGATCTTGCTGTGTTGCTCAGGCTGCTCTCGAACTCCTAGCCTCACTAGCCTCAAGCAATCCACCCATCTTGGCCTCCTAAAGTGCCAGATTACAGGTGTGAGCCCCCATGCCCAACCTTTTTTGTCAATGTATCTCTTTTCTGTCTTATTTTACTATAAGCACTAAGAAGAAACTAAGCTATACCTCTAACACTAGACTTGAAAATTTCCTCAGCTAAACATCCAAGTTCATCATTTATTCTACTTTTCACACTACTGTACTAGACGATTTAGATAAACTTTTTGCCACTATATGACCAGGATTCCCTTTCTTCCATTTTCCAATACAATCTTCATTTCTTTCTAAACCATCACTATAAATGCCTTTAACATTCACACTTCTACCAACTGTCTGGTTAAGGCAATCTAGCTTTTTCTATCACACCCACCACAATTCTTCTAGTCTCTACCCATTATCCAGTTACAAAGCCATTTTCACATTTTAAGACATTTGTTACAGAAGTACCCGATTTCCCAGTTCCACAATCTGTATTAGATTCCTGTGGCTGCTGTAACAAATTACCCTCAAGCCCAGTGGCTTAAAACAATAGAAATTTATTATCTTGTTGTTTTGGAGGCCAAAAGTCCAAAATTGAGGGGTTGGCAGGGCTGAACTTCTTCTGGAGACTCTAGGGGAAGCACTCTTCCCATGTCTTCCAGTTTCTTGTGGCTGCCATCATTCCTTGGTTTGTGACTGCATCTCCCTCTGCTCTGTCTTCACATCACTTCCCCTCTGTATATATAATCTACCTCTGCCTCTCTCTTAAAAAGACACTTATGATGGGATTTAGGGCCCATCCAGATAGATTACCCATGTTAATTCCCTTATTCCAAGATTCTTAATTACATCTGAAAGGACCTTTTTTCCAAATAAGGTACTATCACAGGTTCCAGGGATTAGGATATTGAATATATTTTTTTTTGGGGGGGGGGCACCGTGCAGCTCACTACAGTACTCATTGCACATAAATGAATTTTTCACTTTTTAAGATGCATTCATGGTGCTCAAACCAAATCGAAGTTTGTCTCTAAAAGCTACTGTCTGCACAGGCTACTGCATGCTTTGTTGTTAAATGGATGGATAGGCTATTCTAAATTTTGGTTGATACTTTTGCCCCCATGGCCAATTAACTTGAAAAAAATAATCGATCCCAACTCTATGCTCTGATGTACCTCTTCTGCCCCTTTTTTGACGCCTTTGACCAGATGCCTTCTATGGTTCACAATACAGGCACAAAACTACCTCTGATACAGAAGGGT